AAGTGAGCTTTCTAGCTATTTGTGTCAAAGTAGAATTAGAGGGAGGCGGGCTTTCAGGCACAGCTAGCAATTAGAGTGGAACCCACAAATTCATGCATGGGACAGGCTGCTTGCGTAGGAAGGACAAGGAAGGAGGCACCTTCAAGGGGTAGTGGAATAAAGTAGGGGTAGCCGCAGGCAGCAGCCCAGGGAGCTGTGACCACAAGAAGAGCTTGGACAGCTGGCCTCGGTCTTGATTTGGATTAAGATGTTTATTCTACTTTGCCTCCGGGGCCTCTCCCTTCCTGCCCTGAGGGCCATCCACTTGAGTGACTGATGAAGTAACTAATTGGACACAGACTCTCAGAGCCAGCCAAGAACTGTTCTGGACTGAGATTTACCCTGGGGGCTGGAGACCCCCTTCCAGCAGCACTATAAAGAGATCCCCTCTCTTTGTCTACTCTTGTAGTGCAAAGGTCAAGATCCATGAAACAACCTGAATCAAATCCATGCCACACCAGCTGTTGCCTGAGCACAGAAGTAACTGATCTGTAGGGACAGCACACGAGTCTTGGCCAGGGGGTCCCCTGCGAGCACATGTTCCCAGAGGAACAGGCATAGATTGTCCATGTGCCTTTGGAGAGAGAATAAGTCTTCTTTCTCAACGCCCAAATATTCACACACACACAAAAAAAAATCCAAATGATCACTTCCCCGGGTCAAAGAATGGTTCTCCAACATTTTGTTTTCAAATCCCCTTGGCATTCTAAAAAATAATTGAGTTTTCTGCCTCTCAAATATTTTTTACAAAAAATTGAGGCCTTTGTTATTTTGGGGGGAATATTATTTTTTGTATAAGGGTGTTCTCAATATTTGCTATTTTTGAAATTAAAACTGAGAAATTTAAAAATAGCTTATTAATACCTTTTAGAATAATCTGCCATTCTATGTAAACGCAAATTCTTTCTTTTTCCAAAAAATAAGTGTGCTTTCCAAATCCAAAAATATTTGGTGAGAATATTGGAATTGTTTTACATTTTTGAAAAATCTCTTTAATGTCTGGCCTAATGTAAGGCAGCTGGATTCTCATATCTGCCTCAACTTTCAATATGTTGCATTATGTTGTTTGGGTTGAAGGTTGTAAGGAATGTCTGGCCTCACACGTTATGTAATTGGAAAGTAAAGAAGTGTTTCTGTAGCCTTTCTGGGTAACTGTGAGGATTCTATTTTTACTACACCCAAACAGGTTAGTTGTACTGTGGAATCTGCATCTATATCAGTGAACTTTCATACTCTTTGAGTAAAATTTACTGATTGGTCTTGCACTTTGAGTGGATTGTTTTAACCAGGACATCTTGATTATTTAAAAAATATTGACTTTCACACATCCTCCAAATACTGACCCATATACAAAATTAAAAATAACACACCCATTAATACTATGAAGGGCCGGAGTAACTGCATTTTGAAAAAGTGCCTCCATCTGGGGAGGCAGGCCTGACTTCCTGTAAAAGCAGCGTCACTCAGGGGAAACCTAAACTTACAAAGGAACAGTTCGCTAGAGTTCACCATATAAGGAAATCCCCTGGGTCCGCACCAATCAGGAACAACCACGTTCGATCAGGACATACCAGAGGTGACCCTAGCCAATCCACTGTTACCCCGCACCCCTCAATGACGTAACCCTGCTTTAAAAGAGGCTCCAGAGCGCGGCTCCGGGTCTTCCTCTGCCCTCCGCTGTGTGGTTGGTTAGATGGGGTCCCTGCCACGGCTTGTACTTCCGAAATAAACCTTGCTTTTGCATTTTGGTGTGTTCGAGTCTCTGGCGGCGTTTAGGGATCCAACGATCTGGGCACAACACTATCACTGATCTTGTCATAACATCATTGAACTATTGGGAATCTGCCGATCTCACAGTGGCAAATATGAACTCTTCAAAAATTATAATTGTTGCTCCAATGCTCACATTTTATTGTTGACATCAAACACTGTCAGTTGTTTTCCTTGAAGTGACAGGCTCACTTTTTTTATTTTTTGAGAATATTTACCAAACATCCATGTCTGAATAACCAGTTTGCCTGAGTCATTTTTTCAAGAAAAAAATGGCATTCCACAACAAAAGTGTCTAGTCCAACTCACACTCAATGCCACAAATGCTTTTCCTTGAGAATTCAGTAAAAGGCAGTAAGTTTTTTGTGTGGCTTTCCATTTTGCCACAAAAAAATATTAAAATGTGTGTATACCCAATGGTGGAGGCTTAATCAAATGAGCAGCATGTACTGCCTCACCATTTTCTCCCACCCGCATGAATGTGGTGCTGAAGAATGCAATGACAGTTGAGTACTACTGCCTTGATTTATTCTGAAATGCTGGCTATTAGATCCACTATTGCTTTCACATCATCAGTTCAAATGTTAACTTGGCAGAAATGGCACATAATGTCTGAGTATTTTTATGAAGATAGTTTTGACTTTGCAGAGCTCATGAAAGGGTCTTCGAGCCACAGGGGCTGCACACTGAGCCAAAGTGTGGAAAGCCCTAATGAAATGTAAATGGCATCTGGGAGGGATGGGAAAGTCGGAAAATCTTGGTAGTCACTGTCAACTGTAGACAGACAGGAGACTTCGGCACGTATGGCCCTTACCCTTAGGAATCAGATAAATGAGTTGGAATAGAATACTAGTAAGTCAGAATTTTTGAGGTCTCAGGTTTTTCATCTATAAGTGAAAAAATTCTAAATATTTAAATTTCCTATAAAATGTAATATTAGTACCTAATTAATAGTGTATGCAATAATTACTAATAGGTTTTACAATTAATGTTCCTAAAATCTAGTAAAAGTGGAATATGTTTTATGGACTTGGGGGATAGGAAGCTGGGTAGTGATTATAAAGTACTTATTTCTTGAGTATTAATAAGATTAGTCATCTGGGTGTACATAGAAAGAACAAAGGAGACTGCAAAATAGCTTTCCCTTTTTCTTTTTGGAAAGTATTTATTTATTTATTTAAAGAGACAGGGAGAGAGAAAAAAAAGGGTGGGGACTCCCATTCCCTGGTTCACTTCCCAAATGCAATCTACAGCCAGGGCTGGATTGGGCTAAAGCTGGAATCCTGGAACTGGATTGGAGTCTCCCACATGAGTGGCAAGAACCAATCTACTGAAGTGATCTTCTGCCACCTCTCAGGGTCTGCACTGGCAGGTAGCTGGAGCAGGATCTAGAGCAGGCATCGAATCCAGGCACTGTGATGTAGGATGTGTGTGTCCTAACTGCTAACGCTACACGCATGGCCCAAACAGTCCCCTTTCCATTCATTCATTCACTCATTTATTCAGCAAACATTTGATGATCACTTACTGATGCCAGTCTCCAATTTCGCACTAAGAAAAGCCACAGTGTAATGACAGTAGCTGGTATGGTGGACAGGATGTGGGATTTGAGTCAGAGAACCCGGGTGTCAGTCGTAGTTTTGTGCAGGCTATGCCACCAGCAGCATTCCCTTCCAATTCTGAAATTTGGTTTCCTTGTTTGCAAAATGGGAAAGATTATAAAAGCTTCACTGTGATGTTTCAAAGAATAAATATAAAAATGTGGTTAACACAGTCTAATTATTTCGGTGCCTGTGGTTCTTAAAGTGATTCACTTTTTAATGTCTTAAAAAGCAGCAACACATGAGAAAGAAATTCTTTCTGATCTTTGATCCGTTTGGATCTCAAATGGAATAACAACACCTGCCTGCTTCGAAGGGTCCTTACAATACACAGCATCAATATAGGTAGTGTGTGGCACAGAGCACGTGCTTAACAAAAGCAACTATTATTTATGATTCTGTGGTGGGACAGATATGCCTTCCATGGAAGTCGGCATATATTAACCCAGGAAAAGAAAAGGCTGCTTAGCCTGCTTCCCAGTGAAACAGACGTTAGTGAGTACTTGATACTGATGGTGTGAGTGGTCTGGTTGTGACTTACAGACTCATTCTGTGGCTAAAACATAGTGAGGGCATCTTCTTGCCTTTCTGCCTCCATTCTCCATCTCAAACCTCTGACTGTGAAAAGTGTTGGAAGCAAGAGAGCTGTAAAAATGACAAACTGTGCTGGCCAGGGCAAATGAACAGGTAAAACCTTGATGAGTGGTAAGGACTGGAATGCTAATGCAGCAAAGGAATTGAAAGTATTAAGAGAGTGTTAGAGTACATGTAGGAAATAGCATCCAAGAGGGGTATGTGTCTTTGATATCCATTGGGCAATTTTACACAGAGCACCCCAGGAACCTAGAACTAACACCCCAGGCTTGTTAGATGAGCTGAAAGGTATTGATATTAACACAAAGAAGCCTTTGCCACTTTCTACCTCATGGCAGAGTATGCATGAGATGAAAACTGTGACCACTCAATACCAGAATATTTTCTTGGATTTATCATGGGAACTTGACAAGTTTAATCTTTTGGTTGTAGGTTTTATGGTATTTTAAGGCAAATTCGGTATTTTTTAAGTTCCAGGAACTTCTATGCTTCCCTTATACATTTTAATTCTTGTAATCTCCTAACAACCCATTTTATAGATAGATAAACTGAGGCAAAGTAGCTTATCTAAAGTCATCCCATCCATAAAGGGTAGTTTTCAAGAGCCAGGGAGTCAAGCATCGGCATTAAGATGCCTACCCATATAGCTCTACCATTATAGAAGGAGTACGTAGACCCTACAATTATTTTGAGGCTCATTGCACTGATCAATGATGTTATGATGATGGGAAGAAGAAGGATGGTGCCTAGTGTCCAGGTAATCTTCACACTACAAGTTAAAATCTAAAGACTACAAAAAACATGATTGTTATTCCATTCTTTACCATGCACAGGAATGTATTTCAATTCTCAATTGAATTTGCCAAAATGTCTTCTGAATTTTATATAAGGGGTGGCTCAGTGGAATAAAACAGTGAAAGGAAAGATATGAGAGGGGGCTTGTTACTATCCCAGTCTTTAGGTTAACTCCACATCCTTTCTCCAAACTCCTTGCAGGATTTAACCAGCCTTGCAAAGCTGGTGCCATGGAAGACCCTGGAGACAGACAGAGCCTCAACCTCCAGGAACCAATCATCTAGAATCACTGCAGGACCACAGAAAAAACAGAACTGTGGATTGCACTTACATGGGGATGCTCAGCATGAAATGAACTTTTGGAGTGAATCTAAAACCATCAGTCACATGATCCTTGCAACCAAGCTGCCTCTAGGACACACCGTTTATTGCGCTGGCCTCTCCAAACCGTCTCTCATACAACAGGCACCTCATGCTGCAACCATCTGCTCACCTGGCCTATTGGTTCAAGGAGACAGAAAACACCCAAAAGGATCATTTCCACCTGAACCAAGCAGCCTCCTTCCAGTCTAACTACTGCATCTTCTGAATCCGGTCTGTAAGGTAGAACCACTTGAAGCATATTTTTTAAAAAGATCTGAGCCCCGCCGGCGCCGCAGCTCACTAGGCTAATCCTCCACCTTGCAGCACCGGCACACCGGGTTCTAGTCCCGGTCGGGGTGCCGGATTTTGTCCCGGTTGCCCCTCTTCCAGGCCAGCTCTCTGCTGTGGCCAGGGAGTGCAGTGGAGGATGACCCAAGTGCTTGGGCCCTGCACCCCATGGGAGACCAGGAGAAACACCTGGCTCCTGCCATCGGATCAGCGCAGTGCGCCGGCCGTGGCAGCCATTGGAGGGTGAACCAAAGGCAAAGGAAGACCTTTCTCTCTGTCTCTCTCTCTCACTGTCCACTCTGCCTGTCAAAAAAAAAAAAAAAAAAAAAAAAAAGATCTGAGCCCCGATTCTACCACAGTACAATTAGGTTAGACTCCCTGCAAATAGGGCCATCATTCTTTGATCAAAGCTCTCCATCTGATTCCTTTATGAGGTCAGGGTTGACAGTCAGTGATAAACAAGTTTAATAATTCTTCTGCGTGGTCAGGTGTACTGCCGTACTGCTCTGGTCACTATGAAAGGTATCTTGGCATAAGAAGAAGTATCATCACAACAGCTTGAAAGGAACCCAGCTTTGGAGTTTTGGGGTCAAATTATGGACACCATATAATTTCAGGGAGTGTGTCTATAGGGTTCTAAGTGGCAGAACAGAGATAAATGAGACCAGAGTCTGGCTTGAAGTCAAAGAGGCCTGGGCTTGAGCCCAGCTTCTTCCAGTCTCTTGCTGTGTGACCTCACATATATATCTCTTCTTTGGTAGAACAGATATGTCCATGCTTCCCTTGCAGGGAGTGTAGACTGAAATTATAAATTCTATAAACCATTTAGCACACAACTGAACACATGATAGCTATTATTATAAGGATTTTAGAATATCTTACATATTCTCCTCTCTACTGCCCAATATGAAGCCAAAACAAATCTGTGAGGGCTGGGAATTCTAAGATGTCTGGTGTAGGCAGGGGTTAGGTGTGAGACAGATTTGAGTAGATCACTGTAATGACTGTGCATTATTCTAATGTATGCAAGATAGGGAGGTGGCTCAATGTGTTCTTTGGAAAGCCACCAGGGTTGATGTATGAAGACCAAGTTAGAGATGCATAGGGATAGAAGCAAAGAAACTGGTTAGGAGGTTATTATAGTAATCCTGGTGAAAGATGATGGAGGGTTAGAGTAAGACAGTGGCAAGAGGGATGAAGAGACATATTCTAATGAGATGAATTCTGAAAGCAGCATGGGGAGGGACTATGGATTCATTGGGGGTGAGCAGGACAGGAGAGTGGGCTCCTGGGTGGAACATGGGTCTGTTTATTAACACTGGAGAAAGATTTTGGAGAACAACTGAGAGTTGAGTTTTGGGCAAATGAACCTAGAGATTCTTGTGAATCACTTAAGTGGAGAAAACACAAAGACAATTAGGCGTATTGTGATGAACTTTCAAAGAAGATTGGATAGGTGATATATATTTGATAGTTATCTTCATAGAAATGGTATGAATCTGTGAGAACGGCCAAACTCACCTAGGTGAGAGTAGAAGGAAAGATAAAGGGACTCAGGATGCATTCCTGCAGAAAACTCAAAAAGATTGCTCTGTTTCTCATTTCCCTCTATGGACAAGGACTACATTGTACATAAAGGGCCTTCAAAAACTGCATGGAAAATGTGTAGGAAGTATCACTATGCTTCTAAATCTGTGCATAGGAAATACATGAAATTTGTTCACCTTATATAAATAAAAAAATGAAAAAAAATAAAAAGCTGTGCATGAACCTCAAAAGTCTTTTGTACCAAAATAAACTGATGTTTTAATTCAATTTTTGCATGATATTTTGTAGTACCCCATATACGCTTGGGAGCCTAGTGCCTGAACCACAGTGTGTAGTCAGTAATGTTGAATGAATGAATGAACCACTCAATCAATACTAAAGTAGGTGAAACTTCAAGATGTGTCTCTGATCGAAATATTCTAGACTGTGGGTGTCAGTGTGTGTTTCTGTTTCCTGTGTCGCAGGAGTAGAGAATTTGGGAAGGACTCAACTCCTAAAGAAATCTAAGAACTGTCAATCATTCAGAGATTTCTTACTATGTAGCTCCATGGTTCCTGCTGTATTTTCCTGAGGAAGCTGTTTGATGTTCAGGCCTTCGTACAAATAGGTATTTAAGGCATTAAAAAGAAAAAAGTCATTTAGTTTAATTACACACTTTCAACCCATTGGTTCTGTTTAATGAGGTTCATCTCCTGAGCCACTTTAATCAAGATGCAAACTAATCCTCTTTGAAAAGGACAGACATTTCCACAGAGACAAGATGGGGCCCGGTTCATCTCTGGTAGCTGTGACCCCCTGCATCTCTGTGGCAACCTCTTCCTGCCCGCTCTGAGCCATAGCCTCTGCCCTCTTTAAAATTCAGTGAACTCTCCCATTACATCTAGCGCAGTGCTGGCTCCTACAAGGGCAAGACAAAGAAGCAATCCATCTCTCCCAGCCTCCTTTTAAAGAAATCAACCAGCCACCTGGTTTTGATTTGCCAATAATGGTATGTTAGAGACCCAAAAGGAGGTTGCTCAGACACCCCACAAAAGAAAATAAAAAGTTATAAGGAAGAATGTTCCAGCTGGTCTGTTTTCTCCTGCCTCTCTGGGTAGGAAGGGTGGGAGAACATTGCAGTGGTTAAGAACACTGGCTTCCAAGTCAGCCAGGGTTTGTTCCCAGCTCTCATGATTCTTAGCACCTTTGGCACATTTTTTTGTTTCCCCATGCCTCGGTTTCCTCATCTGTAAAATAGGGAGAATAAAGTTACCATTAGCCTAGGACTTTCGGGAGGAAGAGGTGAGGTAATATATGTAATGCACAGTACCTGACTCAAAGTGAGTATTTAGGAAATACACACTAGTATAATGGAAAGTATTTCAGGTTTCTCTTTTATACCATCAGTTATGAGTACAACTTCAACTCAGCATTCCAGGTAACTCAAAAGCTGTCTACAGACATGATGATGGGTGAACCAAAATGGGGACTGTCCCAAGTGGTTATTATCGCTTTGAATTTATTTGATTGCTTTCTTATGCTTTAAAAAGTCCAAGCCACATCTTGACATCCATAAGCAATCAAGTGTAGATTAAAAAGTATGCGTGTGACATTAATAGAAGTTTCCCCAGATATACACAGATTAAGAAAACATGTTTAGCACTCAGAATGGGAGTCATGTGCCCAAGGTGTCTTCATCACATCCCTGGTGAAGAATAGATGTGGGGGAAACAATGAAGGATTCTACCCATGCATGCATATGTAAATCAAACCTCTGGTTGTCTGAAATACCTGGAGGGAGAAAGGATAGCAGACATCATGGTATTCGTGCCTGGCATTAATATTGCATGCAGGGCCCTATTTAGGCCCCATTCTGGAACTCTGTCAGGTACATTTCTTACATTACATTTCTGAGAGCTTTATTTCAGGAGCAATATTAACAAACAAAGCGTGTTTAATGAGGATCCGCAGGAGACAGAAGGGCTGAAATCATGTCATAAGTATGTAGCAGGGGCCCTGTTAGGAAGATAATTTTGTTGTTTAGGAAAATATTTTGATAAATAGCTCTGGTATGGAAGATAAGACCCTGCGGGCATAGCCTCTAAGGAAAGAACTATGTGCAAGTAACAAGCAGGAGAAAGGGAGAGTAAGTAAGATAAGGAGCTAAGACAGTGTTTTAGAAGACAAAACTTCAGGAGAAAGAGGGCAGATAGCAAACTCCTGGTGGAAGATGGATAAGGGATTTGAAGAACTATAATGTTAAATATTTTAAGTTAAAGTTGTTTGTGTTTGGCAGTGAAAACTGCCTCTGTTACCAGTCTTAGTAAATTCTACAATGCCCCCAAAAGCTATGCAAGTGTGGTTTAGGGGATTTGAGAGATGAATTCCATGTCAAGATGGGTGTATGGAGAGTTGGAAAGACCAAAGGCAAAAACAGCACTTATGAGACAGAGCAGTAAGGAATTAGGAACTCAAAACAGAGGTCACCTTAAGAACACAAATCCCCTGGAATTCACAGAAACCTTGGGTTGGGCTTTGGATTTCCCACAGGATGTGGGGTAGGAAGCCTTAGCCAATTTTATTTAAATCTCAAAGGACAGACTGTCCTCAGTTGACATGTGGCTTACATGGGGAATAATGGAAGTGTTGGGGCATATCTGGCCTAGCATGGAAGGAACCTAGTGGATCATCTATGAGATGTAGAACAATAAAAAAGCGGGTTGCCTTGGGAAAGTTGTGAGTTAGTTGCCCTTCTATGCAAGTTCCCTAAGAAAATGTTCTTTCACTGAGTCAGGATGGATTAGGTGAATTATAAATTCTTTTACTCTGAGATTTAGGTGATTACATTTTAACAAATGCTTATGGGGCACTGATACTGTACCTGGCACTATACTGGGCACCGAGATGCTATATTATCCCAATAACCCCCACAAAAGAAAGAACAGTCTAGTGGGTTCTACAATTGTATGAAATGTCTCTGCCTATGTCAGCAACTAACAGTATGAGTGTCTGTTACATGCAAGGCATATCACACAATTATCAAATCATACCACTAAAACTAATAACTATGTACCATTTTATAGATGGAATATATAAAGTTAGAAAGATTATGAAGAACTTACCAAATGTGTGAATTAGGATGATTAATTAAACTTTTTTGCATTTACTTCATGAGTAAAAAAAAAAATCCAATGCCTAGACTTACTGTGATGCTCATAGGGAATTAAAATATATAATGTGCTTAGTAATTATAATAATTTTATTACTATCATTGTACAACTTTTAGTAGTGGATCTGAAGTAGAAAATAGTCTGTTGTTTTTAGAATACCTCGAGCTCAAACAGAATGTGATAGGATGAGCAGTGAAGAAAGTGCAATGCCCTTTATTTCTCTTAAACAAGAAAGTAAAAGCCATTGAAGCTACTGGATATGGGATAACAGGTAACAGAACCGCTAAACTGGTATCAATTCATTTCAAGGGTCTGCAAACATGATTGTCACTACTCTCAATAGAAAACTCTCAAAAATATCTTCATAGAAGTAAAAGTACCCCATAGTCTTCATGACCTTTTGTTCACTCCACATTTTAGGAAATGAATGCATTGTGAGGCTACTCCTTTAGGCAATGTAATCTTGGAGAGTGCTAAGTAGTTAGAGACCAGAAAAGGCAATCAGATTTATTTTCCAGCAAGACATAGAAAATGAAACACAAATAAGATTAAAAATCCTAATAAACGTCCCTTCCATAGACAATGGATGATTTGTTGAAACTTAAGAAACAAGGAATGGCCAGCGCCGTGGCTCACTTGGCTAATCCTCTGCCTGCGGCACCGGCACCCCAGGTTCTAGTCCCGGTTGGGGCACTGGATTCTGTCCCAGTTGCTCTTCTTCCAGCCCAGCTCTCTGCTGTGGCCCAGGAAGGCAGTGGAGGATGGCCCAAGTGCTTGTCCCTGCACCCCATGGGAGACCAGGAGGAAGAGGAGCAGCCGAGACTAGAACCCGGCGTCCATATGGGACACCAGTACCGCAGGCAGAGGATTAACCAAGTGAGCCACAGTGCTGGCCCTGAAAATATTTTCTTTCTTTCCATTTATATACTTTAAAGTTCTCAATGAAGTGATAATTGTCTCATTGTTTTCTCTCCTGCCAGAGAGAGTTAATAATTGCTGTGTAAATATGGCTATTATTAAGACACAGTCACTACCAATAACATAATGATAATAAAGCTATCTTACTTAAGAGGTCATTCTGTGTCATATATTTGCCACATATTTTGTTTATATACCTCTGTATCTCACAACAAAAACACAAGATCAATGTTTATGGACCCTATTTTACAGATGAGGAAGTCGAGTCTTGGGTGGAATAGGTGATCTTCCAGCTGAGGGTGATTTTTTAAGTTCTGGAATTATGTAACATAACTTCCTCCAAAATCATTAAAGATCACTCATGTTAGCATGGAATTATGAGGCAAAGATTTGTGAGAAAACAGACATCAAGAGGAGTGAGCCTGAATTGGGTTGCCTTTTTGCCCACAGGGTGTTTATTGACTAATGCAGCAAAAGTGCCCGTGAGGATCAACGATAGTTTATATAGAATTATACAGGTTTAGGCAAACAAAAGTTAAAGTGTAGGCTTTGCCAAAGTTGAGATCCTTATTAAAACATATTACACTAAATATTGAGATCTGGAAGGATTAGATCCTAGAAGTAATGACAAAATCACATACATAAGGAATGAAGTTTGATTTTAAGTCATCTGGGTATTCCAGGAAAACTCAAGCCCTAAAATTAGATTTAGATGATCCTATATTGCTAATACCCCAGGCACCTGGAAAAAACAAATAAGAATCCTCTATGGACAGAGATAATGGGTAGTAGTTATTAAACTATTTTTATAAATATACATATAAAAACTACACACAATCAATGATAACCAGACCAAGAAGAGACAAGATAACCAGGCAAAACAACTAAAACAGGCCACAAGGGATTCAAATAGTTTAATTTTCAGACACAAATTGTGAAAACATTTAATTTACTATTTCTATACATACAAAGTTAAATATTTTTAGCAAAGAACTAGTAACTATAAATGCTGGCTTTTCAGATTTTGAAAATAACTAGAAACTATTCAATGGGGAAAAAAACCACATAGTTGGACTCATAGGCCCAATAAATATAGCTGAAGAGAGAAAAGCTAAACAGGAAGATGATGGAAGAAACTATTCAAACTATTCCTATTGGCTTGGAAAGAAAAAGTATATAAAAAGGAGAAGAGCAGCTAGAGTTCCGGAGGATACCATGAAGAAATTAATCACACCTATAGTGAAATATTCAGAATGATTTAGAAGAAGAAAAAAAGAGAAAATGAGGAAGAAAGAATAACATTTGAGAATGGTCTGAAACTGATTAAAATATTAATCTATATATATATGAGATATCTTACAAAGGATAATATAAGCATAAGTTCACACCAAAACATACCACATGAAAAATTTTAAGGGAGTATTCTATAAAGT